GCCTGCAAAGGGAGGTGGTGGAGTCACTGTCCCTGGCAGTGTTCAAGAGCGTCTGGATGAGGAGCTACAAGATACGGGTTAGTAGCTTCTGCTAGAAATGGTGATGGGAGGACAGTTGGACTAGATGATCCTGTAGGTCCTTTCCAACCTTGTGATTCTTTAATTCTATGAGTCTGTAAATATATGGTTTATGCCTCGAAATTTCATCATATGAGAAGTATAGTGAGAGGATGCGCTTGCCAGCTATTACAAAGTCACGTTGGCTGGCTATCATATGGCCAACATGTGAATCATAATACAAAACACAAGTGGTAATGTAGTGTGTTATGGTGCAAAGAACCCTGTCATAATTAATACACGTTAGAAAAGAAGAACTTGCCATCCGGATAGCACCATTGCACTGTATTGTAACCCATGTTGTGCAGATAGGTTTCTTCAGGGTGCAGATCTACATCTTTATAAATTTCAAGCTGTATATTTTGAAATCAAAGGGTACAATTAAGATTTTTGGCTCAGCAACAGTCAGATATGAGGAAATGGAAATGTACTGGAATTCTGGCCAATAATCATAGCGATAATAAAAGTTGGGCTATGTTAAGAAAATTTGCTTGGAAAAAGCAATTTTTTTTTGTTTCTTTTTAAGGGAATGTGGAAAGATGTATGCAGAAAAGTACTCACTTGTTTTATGAAACAGTAAATTTCAAGGCACCTATTAGAGGATATACTGTAAATCAGCCATAATCTGCTGTGTACTGAACTGCATAGAGGAAGATGATGCAAATAGAAAAGTCCATGTTATAAAGAGCAGTGAGAGCATGATCTAAACATTACTGCAATAAAAAATCTCATCAGCTTCAATGGATTTCTAGTCAGACTCTCAATTCTTTCATTTGCGAGGAATTCATTTTTGTTTTTAGAATATAGAGCAGAAAAGTTGGGAACAGATTCTGCTCTGAAAATATTACAGTGCCTCAGAAAGCTGTGTGCATCTTTGGGAAGTTAAATTAACCATAACAATATGTCATTGAATCAGAAAAATGGGAGGATTTGAATCAAGGTTTATAATGAGCTTCAAGAAGGAATCATTAGTGTCTGCACTCATTAAAAAATTAGGGATTAAAATAGTCCAATTAGTGGCCTTGCTTGAGAATAAAAAGGTCATAGTCCAAAAAATAGCAATGGAAATTGCAATAGAAAGATATTTTGCTGTTATTTAGAGGTTCTTTTCTGTGAAACAAGAGATAATTTATTTTATTTCCCTGTGCTTTTTCAGAATTAAAGGCCGACATGTTCCTTTGAAAAATTGCCTCGCTTGGTTTCAAATGACTTTTTGATGAAAAAAAAAAAAAAAAAAAAAAAAAGCATATTTCGTTAAATTCCCTTGTGTCAGTAATATCTGAATTAATTGTAGATTAATGCAACTGGATTGGAATTTTTTCACTGGGTCTGTTTTTTAGGAATCATCTCCCCTTTAAGGAATTGTGTATACAGGGTTGTGTCTTGTGTGTAATTAAGAGTAGCAGGAAAACTGAGATGCTTTCCAGTTTTAGCCATCTAAAAGGCAGGCATGTTATCTCGGTAGTTATCAACTTTCTTTCTAGGCTAACAGAGATAGCAAACTGGGTGACTAATTGCACACAGCTCTAAATAAAGAATTCATAGTAATCATGGGAGTTGTTTGTTATTCACTTGAGGAGCCTGAATTACTGTTCTTAAACAGATTCCTGACTTCTAAAAAGCTTCAACAGGATCACACAGATTCCCCCTCCCTACTTTATCTAGGGATTCAGGTTGTAGATGCAGATACCTGCACGTCTGCATTAGAGCAAAGCATCCAGGCTCCTCCACAACTTCACTGAACATTCCGTCAGTGCAGTCAACAGACCCTTGAGAATTATTCAACACATCCTGAGATGAGCAGATTTGTTCTGTTACCCATAGTCATACGGCCCTGGGCAGCCCGCTCTTAGTGACCTTGCTAGAGCAGGGCAGGTTGCACCAGGTCACCTCCAAAGATCCTTTCTAGTTTCCATGATTCTGTGGTTCTGAGATTTAAAGCCATGTCAAGGACAATGACACAGAGTAGCATAGAATTAAAAATTAACTTGAATTTATCTTGCAATATTAAACATTTCCTGGATTTTCTACTGGGCTCAGTGTCTAGTGTCATACATAGACAAAAGCTATGAAATGCCCAGTTATACATACATAACAACACAAGATTAAACAATGCTAGCATTGGGATTGTGGGATAAAGCATCTGGAACTTTTTCCTGTACCTTTTCTTCCACAGAAATTCACTCATGTTGCTCTTCCTACTTCATGTAAAGTATTGCTTCTCAAGAAAAACCTTGCTTATATTATGGGCAGTCCCAGTCATGAAAAGGCACCTAAGAGTACTGTGTCATTTTGCTGCATCAAAAGAGTGCAAACGTAAGAGTGCCTTCCAGGAAAAGAGTGGAGTGAAAATAACCTAGCATCATTTCCCAGTATGCACACATGTACTTAGTGTCAGCCTGGTGGTCTATAGCAATGGCCAAGTTCACTCAAGGACGTTGTTAATAGGACCTAAAGGATTGTGAACATAGTTTTAAAATTTGGGTGCTAAATCTATACTTGAGCATGCAAAGCCATCATCTGGAGACCAAGTGAGGAAATAAAGTGAGAATAAATCTCTAGCTTGCTAATGAGAGTTTGCTCCTGGGAATTCTGGCACTGTGGCTTTTTTGCAGTGCAGCTTTTTGTGCACTACTTCTAGCTATCACAGTGCAAATTGCCTTCTTCCACCTCTTTAGGAATAGCTCTTGACCAATGGACAGAATGACTCAACCCTTTTCAGGAAATAAGGATGGATAAATTCAAGGTTAGGGATAGAGGAGAGAAAGATTGTAATGTAGGAAATAAAAGGACAAAATAGAGACCAAAGAGAAAGGCAGAGAATATCAGGAGAGCAGTGGCAGATAGAAAGAAGTATCAGACACAAAGGACAGAAGGACTGGGGAAGGAAGGAGAAATGGTAGGGACACTATATACTACTACATAATATATAATATAATACTAAAATCCTGTATTCCATCACTTCTGAAAGCCAGCAGTTTTCCAAACAGTGGAAGAAGTTTTGTCTCTAATAAGTCTTCTGGTGTACTTGGACAGGAATACTTGAAGCCCCTCTTTTTGCTTTGTTATTCCATCAGATTAAAAGTTGGTATCCAAGGAGTACTACCACATCTGACACTTAGAGTGGTGCATTCGAAAATTTGGAAAGCAAGAAATCTAGATATCTCAGCTGTGAGCAAATGATTTATTAATAGATGGGAAGGTGTGAAGAGATTCCATTTTCTAGGAGATAAGTGATTAATTGATTACACATGAATGAACAAGTACTAGGGGCAAGTGAAGCTAGTCTAATTAAGGTAGTATAACTTGGGTCTGACTTCACAGTGAAGGAAAAGAATCATTAAAAATGAATGTAAAAATAGGGAAATATCCAGATTCATATAATTTCTCTTAAAGGTTGAGGTAGTTGGGCTTGTTCAGCTTGGAGAAGGCTCCAGAAAGGCCTCAGTGGAGCCTTCCAGTACTTGAAGGGAACTTACAAGCAGGAGGGGGGAAATGCCATTTTTCACGGCCTGATAATGATAGGACAAGAGGGAATGGCTTTAAACTAAAAGAGCACAGATTTTGGTTAGATGTTTGGAAGAAATCTTTTACTCAGAGGGGTGTTGAGGTGGTGGAACAAGTTGACCAGAGAGGATGCCCCATCTCTGGAGGCATTTGAGTCCAGGTTAGATGGGATCCTGGGCAGCCTGATCGAGTGGTAGGCAACCCTGCCAAGATCAGGAGAGTTGGAATTAGATGATCTTTAAAATCCCCTCCAAGCTAAGTCATTCTACTATTGTCTGATTGTATGACCCTTCTGTGAAGTGTTTGGACAAATAGGTACTGTACTGCCCAGCAAAGGCACTGGATCACAAATCCTGCACACAGCAGAGCTGTGCCTCTTGAGGAAGAGCCAGGAGCGCGGATAGGTTCTGGAGGCAGCACGTGAACATCTGCACCATGCAATGCCAAGCATGGATGTGGGTGCCATGGGCAACAGCAGCCCCAGAGAACTTAGTCTGTAAGCCAGAGTACTTACCAGCCAGGGGAAACAGCAGACCTAGAAAGGAAAACAATAACACTGATATGCCCCCCTATCTTTAGGTTAGTTCCCTTTTTATCCAAGAAATGTCATGCTTTCTGTCTGGTTCAGATTTGCTTGATATAATTATTTCTTTCACGTATTGATATTTAATTTACTTCCAGTATAATGACTACTAAATCATTAAGCCATTAACAGTATCACCCTTCCAGACTGCAGATTGATTATCGCTCTTGCAACCACTCATTTAGTAAGTGAGAGTTAACTCAGGGGTAGGTAACAAAGCCTTTTTTTCAGTTCTGCTGAAAATTGCCATTTCTAAGTTCTTTTGGTTAATCCTTTCGACACAGATGTGTCTGCTTTTTGTTTATACTACTTTTATATTACCCTTAATGTGACCATTAGAGTATACAAATAATAGAGATGTCCTTAGCCCATTATAATGAAGTTCTAAGCAAGTCGGAATGGTTGTAGCAGAACTTGCTTCCAAGCTGACATTTGAAAGGAGTAGCATAACCCTTTCTATACTGTTTTGTAAAATTATTCTGTTTTTAATTCATTTGTTGTAGACATGAAGGAGAAAATAAGTGCTAAGGTCTGAATCAAGTGTATGAGGTTTCTGGGTGAAGAGGAAAGCATGATAAACTGAACAACAGACCGTGCTTCCAAAAGGGAAAGGCTGTAAAAAGTCTTTCTGAACATTTGAAATTAGATTTATTTTTTCCAAGATCAGTTTTTGTGGCTTCTTCTTTTTGCAAAAATTATTATACTAGCAAAAGAAAATGGAGCCTAAAGATATCCCTTTGTCATCCTATCTGTCAGACATTGTAAAATGCCATCTCTAATTTTTGTATTCAAGGACACACCACAACAATTTCCCAGTAAACAACACATCATGGATCTTTGGATCAGGTGGCTGGCAGTCACAGTGCTGCTTACGTGTGACGCGCAGCTTCCAAAGCAGGCACAGGCTCCCCTGCTTCTGCACAAGCCCTTTGTCGTGGTTTGGAATGCACCCACTGAGCAATGCCGGCTGCGGTACAAGGTGGACTTGGATCTCAGCATCTTTGACATCGCATCAAACACCAACGAGACTCTGAGTGGATCCAATGTGACAATATTCTATCACACTCATTTGGGATATTATCCCTACTACTCAGATAATGGCAACCCCGTGAATGGAGGAGTGCCTCAAAATGAAAGTCTTATCAAGCACCTTAATAAAGCAAAGTCTGACATTGACTATTGCATACCCATGAAGAAATTTCACGGACTTGCGGTCATTGACTGGGAAAACTGGAGACCCCAGTGGGATAGGAACTGGGGCAATAAAAGCATTTATAGAAATAAATCTCTTGAGATGGTTAGGCAACGGCATCCACAGTGGTCGGAAGATAAAATTAGGAAAGTAGCTAAAGAGGAGTTTGAAAACGCTGGCAAGAGTTTTATGAACAACACTATCCTTCTGGCTGAACACATGAGGCCAAATGGTTTGTGGGGTTACTATCTTTACCCAGACTGCTACAATTACGATTACAAAGAGCACTGGCAAACATACACGGGAAAGTGCCCAGCCATTGAATCTTCTCGCAATGATCTCCTTCTTTGGCTGTGGAAGGAAAGTACGGCTCTCTACCCTTCAATATATCTGGATTATATACTGAAGTCAAGTCCAAATGCACTAAAGTTTGTTCACTATCGGGTTAAAGAGGCAATACGTGTTGCCTCGATTGCTAGAAAAGACTACGTTTTGCCTGTTTTTGTTTACTCCAGACCATTTTATGCCTACACTTTTCATGTTTTAACAGAGGTAAGCACACAGATGTCTTTAGAAATGTAGAGATTAGAAACAACCTCTTAGAAAAAAAATACTTACATAAAAGCATTTATGCATATTTTTCAATTGGATGAGGCCTTGGGAGCCTGAGCTGGTGAGGGATAGCCCTGCCCACAGTAGTGGGTTGGAACTAGATTATCTTTAAGGTCCCTTCCAATCCAAGCCATTCTAGTACTCTTCAGCTACTCCTCTACCCAGAGTAGGCTACTGCTATACTCACAGTATAAAAGACTGTACTTTTCCATAGTTAATCCTGCAGTGTTCTGGTATGTTTCTGGAGGATAACATTGTATATTTTCAATGAGGGTAATTTAGAATGAAAGTACAAAAAAAAAAATCATTTCCTTAAGGAAATAATTCATCCTGATATTTTAATTCTTCAGGACAGCTTGCAAAATTAGCTTGACAATTTTTGTGAAGTTTAAAACTAATTTGTATAATGGGAAGACCAACTTACATGAGAAAGGAACCTCAGGGCTTTTTTGTTTCCTTATCCAAGTGGAAATTCATTTAGTCGAGAAATAAAGTAGTCAAATAAACTGGTCTGGCATGGAGTTCTTAACTCCTGTCTGATGAGCACGCATTTTTCAGAGATACAACACATTCACTGGTCTTCATGATCCAACACTTAATGTTTAATGTTTTTCCAATAAAGAAACTGAGTTTTTGAGTCAAGCAATGTTCCTTCAACCAATGACAAAGGGCAATAAGTATATAGATGCCACCACAAGAAGGGACAAGTTAAAAAAAGAAGCAGTCATCCCAGCAGGCTGTGAGATGCACATGACTTTAGCCTGGCACTGGGAAGGTGGAAAAGCCCCAGCAGCCTGAGAGGTGTTTCAGGGTGCTCTACAAAAGAAAATGGCTCATAGGAGCAATTGTGAATTTGGTTTGTCTTGTTTTTAGCAACTGTTTGCTGTGTGATGTGGAAGATGCAGGTCCTAACTGTCTCAGAAATCATGTACAGGCACATGAAGCGGGATTGCACTGAAGGCAATGAGCTACTGAGGTCAGCACAGGAAGGCTTTCACCCCAAATGCCTTTGCTGAAGAACTCAAAACAGGCCATGAAATAGATGAGCATTCTGCAAATGCAGACTGTAATAATACATTTTTATAATACAAACCATCCTTTTGACAGATATAAAAATGCCAGGAATGTTACTGAAAGCTATGAAAACTATCATGCTGGTTAGCAATTATACACAAGTTCAAAATCTGTGGTGCTATAAAGCTATATTGTTTTACCTTGCACTTTTCTGAACAGCACAGTGATACTGCAATATTCCTGGTATGTTGTACTCTTTAACTCAGTTTTTCAACTCCATATGGGCATTTCCTGCTGGATGCTTGAAAGATCATTTTACAAATCAGCAGCCATTGATGATTTATGCACAGACAGAAAAACATCTTTGGGTTGTGCTCTACTCCATACCTTCTAACAAGGATAGCACCCAGCTCTGCAGGCAGGGGACAGGGCTTGCAGTATCCCCAAATAGTAAACGTTGTCTGCAGAGAACAGCTTGGGGACTGCCTGAAACCTGTGCAGGGTTGCACTTAAGAAAACTCTAAATAAGAATGACTGAGAAAATAAACTTGTTTTCCTTGGCACTGAAGCCACTGAGGCATTTTAAGTATGTTTATTTGTGTTCGTATTTTAGCTTAGGTTGGAGCTTGCCATGTGACCCATGGCATGCCCCTACGTGAAGCTCATAAACCAAGCAACTCTTGAGTTCCAGTAATGGTGGGTGAGAATATAACTACAAATGGAAACTATGTCGTACAGTGGAAAAATGGGGCAGCAGGTTTACGGACACCTGAGCTCTAACAAGTCTGGGCCAAGACAACCACCATCCTGTCCCATCAAGCCAAGCAAGAGTTGTGTTACTGTAGATCAACAGAAAGAACTGGTGACACATTTAAGGCTTGGGCATAAGGCTCTCTGTACACAGTATGATAAATTCAATAAACATCACAACAGAAGAAAGCAAAAACTGTAGTTGTGAGTCAAAGCCAGTTAGGTTAGAAGCACAGGTCTAGCAGACCTTCAGAAAGACAAAAGGCACAGGTCCCAAACTGCTGCTGCAGCTATGCCTGCTGTACCTTTCCCTCTAACTGTACACAGAAGTTGGCTGAGCTATGCATAAGATAGCTGAGAAATTCATCCTGATTTTCTTCATCAAAGCAGTGTATAAATTATGATTTGAGATCCCAGTCGTTATGGAAAGCTTCTCTATCTGCTACAAATGCATACAATGCATGCATGCATGACAATTCGCTATTAGTGTGTGTGGGAGAGAGGAGTTACACAGCGGCAGCTGTGTGTCTGACCAGAAGACTAAAGTCAGGAATAAAGGAGGATGACTACCAAAAAATGATGAAAAATGGACAACTTCTCTCATCCACATGCAGGTAATTTTAATAACAGTCTCTGAAGCCAAGTTGTGCGTCAGTGTGCAGATACCATTGCCCGCAACCACTCAAGGCTTGCGTTGCTATTTCTGAATACAGAAAAAGCATGTCTGAACCGAGACCATTCACAGTTGTGAAGAAAGATTACAGATATACTTACTTTCCTTTTCTCAGCATGTAGCTAAGAAAACTGTCCTGCTTCTTCTCAGGCTGCAAAGTGAAACAACTCATCTCCAACTTTTTTAGCATGCAGGGCAGCGACTTGCCTGATCAAAATATGGAGAAGCCTTGATAGGAACTGTGCTTCTGGGGCCTCTTGGAATGTGTGGGCCTTGCACGGTGCTCCGGGGAGGAACCTCCTGATCATGCTTCCAATTTGCCACTCTCGGCAATTATGAGAGTCAGTTATGATTCCATTTTTTCTCCACAATATTCAAATGAGAAATAAGAGTTTTATTTTCTGACCAGTTGTGTGGTAGTGGAGGGTGGCGATTCTGTAGCTGACCAGGGGTCAGAGTACCTACCTATCTGTGAGGCAGGAGCTCTCAGTTCAGGTCTCTTCCCAGCCTACTAGATTGGATCCGGAACACTCTCAGTCTATGTCAGACACCAGGAAAGACCAAAAAGAACAAGCATAAAGAAGAGAAAGGGAAATAGATAATGTCACCTTGTGTTGATAGATTATTCAAAGAAAAGCCATTCTCTGCTGAAGGCTTTTGAAATTCTTCATATGAATCAGTCTTTCAGCAAGAGACGTGGCTATGCCTAGAAATGACAGACAGAAACTTTATTTCCTTCCTTGTGGGCAAGTCTATGTAATTATTACTCTGAATTAATCATAAGCTGTAGTCAGGTTCACACTTGTATCTCTTGTTCTCCTTTGAGCCTTTATTTAATTGGTGCAAAATAGAATGGCATCAGAAAGAGAAATACTTCCTTCTGTCTTTAACTCCCCAGTGAAGATAATCCCCACAGAGCTGGAGATGACACATTTTTTAAGCATGAAGAAGATAGGAAAGTTTAGCTTACATTTTCCTAATTCTCTCTCCCCCAGGGGAGGACTTTTACCACTTGACCTTTGTTTTAAAGCAAACAAGAAGAGGAAGGAAATATAAGGAAATATTTGTTTAAATAAAATCCCACGTGGTGTGGATTTTTTCATTTTTTTTCCCCAGGAAAAATCTAATAACTGCAGGTGCTGTGACTGTCCTTCAAGCATCTCTAGGCGAGTGTACCTTCCAATCAAATGACAAATCTTGACCTTAATCTGAAAAAAGTGCTAAGTTTCTCAGCACTGGCAAAGTGTTGATCCTAGGTGTGAACTACAGGTGAAAGGATGAAGTTTCTTCAGGAGTTTCATTTCTGAAATTACAAGTGGCAGTGGAGTTTGTGCTTTTGGATTTAATTATTTTGTATTTGTATGGATCATACATGAAGTGCTGAAATATTTTTGTGGTTCTAAATCTAAACAAATCCTACAAATAACAAAGAAAGCTGTGAAACACGAGGGAGTAAAACTGGATTTACTGACTTGAGGTGAAGCACCCTAATCCCAAGGTGTACCAGTTAAAGTCGTTATTTTGGGTTTTTCTCAAGTTTTAGTCCATCCTATCTATTGATCACTTATTTTGACTGATCTAAAAGGTTTCGTTGATTTGTTCATGAGATCTGAACCCTGCCGGTGCTAAATCACTGAACAACCATCTGGCAAACATCTAGCCTTTGCACTGGGTAATCTTCATAAAATGCTTTCAAGATGAGAACAGCTTACAAATCATCATTGCCAAGAGCTCAGGCTATATTTTATATTGTTTTTACATGTGATATCTCGCTTTTTAAATTCACACAAACACCAGAAGAGGAAAGAAGAAGAAAATCACAATTTCCCACTTAAAAATAACACCCGCAGCACTCACCACCCTCCTTTTATATAGCTAGAACTGGACTATAATCTTTTACGAGTATTATTCTCTAAGAGACTGCTTGCATGATCATCAGCATCATGATCCTCTGACAAGATTAATTATACTTTGTATCATTTTTGAACCCTGCATTAAGAGCCAGACAGGCTAACTCTGCTCTTTCAAACTTTTGCAGGTTTCCCTGTTCTGTCTGATCTCCAGTTAATGGTCAAAATCACTTACTCTGACCCTGTAGCAATCTTCAGCATTTCAGCAGAATCTCCTGTTTTCAATGCACTTATTATGCCTTCTTTTATGTCTCTTAAGCTTACAAGTTTCAGGAATGAGAACTCCGTGCCATGCACTGGTAAATCAACATGCCCATTTACTGAGAAAAATAAATTGTTTAGCAGCAATTTACAATAATAACACAGTTCTTCCATTCTCTGAGTTTGCATTTCTAATACACCACCATGCTGTGATAATATGTCTGGTCTCTTACATTGTTTTTTTCCCAGGAAGAGATTAAAAGACTGCATTAAAGAACATCCGTAACTTTTAAAATGGAATCCACTGTTTATTTTTTCTACTGTTTCTTCCAAATCAAGAAAGAGTAGTTTCAGATGTGATTGGTCATTCCTTGAAATGTAGCAATGGAAGAAGGACCTTACTCCCTAATTTGTAAGGTGCAGTTGCATTTCTCTAGACATACTATTCACAGTCTCAGGGAATGCATTTAAAATATATAGAAGATACATTGCTATGTTGTTGGAAAGTGACTCCTGTTCTGCACACAGTGTGTTCTGGTACAGCTACATTACTGGTAATTACTACAACTTAATTGTGTATTGGTGCAGGTCTAATAATGGACATGGCTAAGTCAGTATATACAAGTATGCTTTCCCCAGGTTGGCATTATGAAGAACAGGGAGAGGCTTGTGTTTCAGTGATATGTTTCCCAGCATAATGGCATTCATGCTGCTAGGAACAGCAGCTCTGTGAGTATATTGATATGGCTAAAGCAGAACAAGTTAGGCACCTGCTTAAAGCCTATCAAATGCAGCAAGGTTCCATGGGGGCATCCAATCACATGATCGTACTTAACATCACGTGCTAAGTACACTGCCTATTTATCTATGCTAATCATTCAAAGACTGGTAGATAAAGCATAGCTTTGAATTCCTACCCCACCAGCTTGGTTGGAGGATTCCTTGGGAATAAACTGTAAAGATTTTATTATTTCTTATTCCCTCCTGTGAATAAAACCCCGTGCATGCCTTTGGAGGTACAAATAAAATCTTTCTAATATGAACTGTGATCACACAATCATAAATTACCAAGGTTGGAAAAGACCTCTAGGATCACCCAGTCCAACCATCCACCTATTGCCAGTATTTCCCACTAAACCATGTCCCTCAGTACAACATCTAAATGTTTCTTGAACACCTCCAGGGATGGCGACTCCACCACCTTTCTGGGCAGCGCACTCCAGAGCCTGACCGCTCTTTTGGAGAAGTATTTTTTAATGTTCAGCCTGATTTCCTGTAAGGGGGAAAAAAGTGATGCCAATATCCTAGTACTTTTTCAGTTTTAGTTATATATCTTTGGTTTTCTGATGTCTGCTTTGGTCTTCTTTCAGATTGATCTGGTTAATACCATTGGTGAAAGCGCAGCTTTGGGAGCAGCTGGAGTTGTTCTCTGGGGCAGTATGCAATATGCCAGCTCAAAGGTAGATTCTGTTGATCTATTACTATTTAGAAATCACCTCAATACCTCTTCTGTGCCACCATACCCATCATAGCACTTGACTGTCTTTATTGATGGTGGTTCAGGATAACTTTCAACTCTTAGTTCTATACTTCAGTTATGCTGAGAAGTGCTGTTGTTGAGAGCACACTGATTCAAACAAGTTATTTGTATCAGCTTGTAATACTGATTCTGAATCTGGGCTGGGCTCTGGTTCTCTCCCTTTCACATAATCTTCTCTCTTCTTCCTGAAGCCTCTGGCAAAGCACCACTGACTTCAGCAGGGAAATAAGGGATCCATATAGAAATTGCTAGTTGCAACTTCTGTGCTGGTTTCTGAGAATGATGTAGTTCCCAGTAAGCTGAAGGAGTTGGAGAAATCAGGACCAAAGCAGTAGCTCAATAACTGCTTTAAAACCTATTAGTCACATACACTGGTCCTTGTCAGCAGTTACCAGAAATCTTTACTTAATGAACTAGTGAGTCTCAGGTCAGGATGTAAGCTCTCTTTCTGTTTGCTAGGACTCATTTCCAGTCTAATCCTGTATACTGCTACCAAGCTCCCAAACAGAGGATATGGTAAAGGTTACTTGCAGATGTTACCAATGGAGGCACGCAAATCCAACGTGTTTATCTCAACAGATATTTCAGCTGAGTACAGTTTTGAGCTAGTATCTTCTGAAACACAAGAAATTTAGACCCAATGCTAGTTACTGAGTAATGTGTGATGTCTTTTACTTCCTGCAGGAGAGCTGTTCCACTGTGAAGAGATACATTGATGGACCCTTAGGACATTATGTCATTAATGTGACCTCAGCAGCCAAACTCTGTAGCAAAGTCTTGTGTAAGAAGAATGGAAGATGCATACGCAAAAACAGTGACTCTTCTGCGTACCTACATCTGCCATCCAGTGATTTTAAGATCCAAGCCCATCGCTCAGGAAGGGGCCCACGATTGCAGGTGACTGGTGAACTCAGCCTGGAGAACATAGAAGTCATGAGGCAGAGGTTCATGTGCCAATGTTATCGAGGATGGACAGGAATATTTTGTGAATTGCCTGACCAAAGTGTAATGGAGCATTGGGTTCACATTGTGTTCAGCAGATCAAGAAAACAGAAGCTTTATGTCTTCCTCTTAGGAGCTATGCAGCTTCTTCTCCTTTTTACAGCATATTAAACTCTTCTGAGTTTAGAAAAGAAATCAGAAGTGCTGCCACTTGGACTTAAAAGTTTTAGCAAGTCTTTATTACAAAGAGGAAAGATGTTGTTAATTAAATTGCTTTATTCAGTCTTGCTCATGTCCCAGTCCTTCTAAAAGAGCTCCAGGCATCAAACATTTTTCGAGTAGCCCCTTCTTTTTGATCAGTTCACTTACTTTCCTTTTAAGCAGGTAAACTTTTTGCTGCTACAGTGGAAATTTTGCTTGAGTGAAACTGTTGAATAACATGGTACCAGGATTCATCCATGTAGAAACTTAAAAAAAGGACCCAGAACCTCTTTGCTCTGGGGTTGGATGATTTAGTATAGTTTGACAAGGAAGAGTTTTCATGTAGACCAAGGAGCCCAAGCCATGCTCTGCAGTTCTTGCTGAAGCCAAATGGTATTTTGCATTAGCAGCATCACAGTGCCCAGATTCCCATCCATCACAACTTGCTGATCCCAATATTTCTGCACAGAATGTGTATTTTGGTGTTTTAAGATCTGATTTGCATCTTGTTACTCTGAGAAATATCAGTATTCCTAGTGGTAGTTTTGTGCCCTCAGTTACAAAGGTACTGTTTGACTTAAAATCTGTGCAATTAACAGTCATTGGGTCAAATGGTCATTTCCCATAGCACCAGACAGCCATCAGTACATACACGTCTTTAGGTCAGGGGTTGCTGAGCATGGAGAGATGCTGGCACACTGCAGCATTCCTACAAAGGCAGAACTTTCCTCTGAGCCCTTGGGAAACAGGCAGCTTCACACCTTCTCTGCCTTGCTGCTTAGTGTCACTGCTCCCCTGGGCTGCTTCCTGTTCTACTGTTGATGTGGGCCTTTGAGATAGCTAGAGTGTTTGGGTTGCTCTGTAATGACTTCTGCTAAGATGCTGCAGGAGAGGTGTGCCACAGAGGTTTTGATTTTCAGCAAGTTCAGTGAATAACAGAAAAATGAAGGTAAAATCTTCCTTGTTTTAGTTTGAGAGAAGGTGGATTAAAGTTTAGAAGAAAAAAAGCTAGGATGCATTTTACCTTAAGCCAGCTGGGTGAATAAGCCTTAGGTCACATATATGGTCACCTGTAAGAGCTTTCCATTTTTGTATACTATCTCTTTTCCATGTCTGGAAATGCAAAACAAAACAAAACAAAACAAAACAACAACAACCAACCTCTGAATTACAAAGCTTAAATGATCAGTAGGAAAGCCATATAACAAGAAAGAAATAGAGCTACTTCAGCTGGATATTATAGCCTATAAAATGTGGCTGTATGTTCTGAGCAACTGAAGAAAATGTTGGGATTCATTTTGTTCTGCTCTATTTTGACGGGCTGATGAGTGGGGCTGCAATCTCAGTTTGACTTCAATATCAGCTGTATGTGCCACTGACATCTTCTTCCCACACCCAACCTTTTCTTTCCCTCTCATGTTTGTATCACTGTGTGTTCTCTCCTTACTTCTGTTTGGGTGTCTCCAGTGGTTTGGGATGGGAAGCCATCCAGATCAAAAACTGAAAAATATAGATAGGCCCACAGTGCATGTTCTTAAAGCTGGGTTAATTCCTCAGTCTGACTCAAATCGTGACTGAGCCCAGGCTAAGGAAGCGGGTAAAACCCATAGGGAAGTGGTAGTAATGCTGCAAATAGAGTATTGCCACTTAAGACAATATACCATGAGTAATTACCCCTGGTAGGAAGGCGGCAGCGTCAGTTGTGGCTCACCCAGCCCATCTCGTGGAGGTCTGTATCACATTGCCAGCTCCTGGAGCAGCTCAGGCACTCTGTGTGGGACATGGCCCAAGGAAGATGCACTGGGCAGCTGGGGCACTTGCTGGGCTCACAGAACAGCTGGATCCCTATGACCAGCCCAGATGTGGGTGCCTCACCTGATCTGAAAGTCAGGGCATAAACCTCACCTGGAACAGGGAAATTCAGAGAATGTGAATGTTACATTTAAAAATATTAATAATTTTAATCTAATTTATGCTTTCTGAAGTCCCATTTTGCCACTTAGTCTTTAAGATGAAAATAGAAGAGAAAGTCTTGCTGGCTGAATGTAACCACCCCAGCATTTCTGTGTTTCATTGGCTTTTTCCTAATGCAACACTCTGCTAGACTCAGACAGGATCTATAAACGCAGGAAGAATAATGCTAGAGGAAAAAATATTAAAGGCCCTCACAGATAAAGGTGACAGAATAAAATCTCAGTTTTGGAAAGCTGTGCCTGAATAAATGTGTAAGTATATTTTTTTCTGTGTTAAAATCTCCTTCTTAAAACAAAGTTAAAAAAGAAAAAAAAAAAACCAACTTAAAAATTGCTTCAGTTTGGCACTGGAGGAAGTTAGTGCGAGTAGCGAACTAAAATTGCACATCGTGTGCAATAAGAAAATGTACGAAAAGATTTTGCCCAAGAAACCTTGATACACTTACGGCACTGTGGCAGGCACAGCTCCTCCTGTGTTTACATTTCAGGAAAAGTAATTTCCCGTCAATCTGTGCCAGAGTGGGAGCATTTGCAAACACAGGTTACTCTAAAAATAAGTTGGAAGTGATGTAGTTTTGTACTCTTCGAAGAATGATACAGCCCGGTAACCACACAGCTTCTCAAAGATGAAAATCCTGTCTTAAAAACTAATCAGAGCAAAACAATGTCACACACTGCTTAATGAGCTTAAAACCATGAGCTTGTTCTTGCTCAGCAGTGGCACCGCACGTTCTCCACATACCACTGCATGCAACAATAAGGAGCATTTGGAGGTCAGATTAGGAAAGGGGAAACTTTTTGGGAGCTTCAGAAAGTCAGCGTGAGTTTGGGATTTAACTCTGCTGCTTTTAATAGCTGCAGCACACCTGTATATCCCCTGTTAGGGATGCCAGAAGAGTTCCAATGCAGCATTTCTATGATTCTGTGAATATATCTTTTAACAGGTAATAAGAAAGCAAGGGGTATTGTGTGTTCATATACACATGTGTGTGTGTTTGAATGAACATCTGCGTGTGCCTGCTGTGACACGTGTCTGTGTCTGCACGTCTGACTTTGCCCCAGAAGAAGGAGCAGAGCAGCGAGGGGAGGCACGAGGCTTTGTGTTCTGTCTCGTGGGAAGGAGCTGGAGGCTGTTGCGTAACCTTATAGCTTGGCACGTATGGCCCCGCTGAGGTGCAGATTATGTCCATTATGTAACCACGTTTATACAGGAAGCTGACAGCATCCAAAAAGCTAAAAATAAGCAGACCTCTGTAATTTCAAGGGACAATATCTTACACTTCTCACATACGGCGGCTTTCGCTTTCAACAACAAAAATGGCCTTTTTAGACCTTCAGTTTTTAGTTTAGGATGATATTTTATCACATTAGCAGCCTATTTTCTCCGAGAGAGACAGAACTCCTTTCTCATTTTTCCATTACAGCATAGATTCTTCTGGTTTTTATTTAAGGCAATGTCTTCTGTCTGTGAGAAGCAAAGCAGCTCAGAGTATTGGTTCTGCTTTTTCTCCACAGACAGCCAAGCAGTCTGACATTTTTGGGCAGCTTGTGGAAAAATGACATTTGTTTGCATGATAGTAATAAACTTCCCAGTAGATTAGACAGCAGATTATTCAGAGCATTTTTTACATTGCTCCTTCAAATGCTGGGCTCTGAGACAGAAAAAAAAAAAAAGAACGTTTTCTTTAGACCTTAATGAAGTTGCTCCTTACTTTGTCTGTGCGTTAATTTGCCCAATATTTACCTCAGGTAGGGGAGTGTTATGCTATGGAAACCCTATGGAACCAAAATGTCAGTCCCTGACTGAAGTAGAGGCAGTGATGTACAAGGAGGGCAGCTCATTTTTCCATACTGACATTTGCCACCTAGTCCTGCTCCTAATCTGTTTCCCCTTCCCCCTACTCCCACACCTTATATTGCTGTGTATATCTCACCATGTAGAATGAACTGCAAAATATTTGTGGATGCCGGGGGGAGTCCAGCATTTCTTTTCTGCCCAGGGTTGCTGCAGGACACGGTAAAACAGTTACCTCTGACCTTCTTCCTGCCTCTCTTCACCCTCACCAGGCTGCACTAGGAGCCAGGTACAAGCTGGTATGGAGTCAGAGCCAGCATGTGTCACCTTACTGCTCTGTCACACATGCCTCCAAGCTTGGAACTGAGCAATGCACAAAGGTTCCACAGAGTCACTGAGCCAATGATGATGGCCACATTGGGTTTAATTTGTACAAGCACGAACTGAAGGCCTGTGAAAACTCCACAGACATCTCTTCTTAAGTATCTGCACTGAAATTTTGTGGAATTTAGAGAATTTACAGTTGTTTTTAACCTAGAAGGAGGGAGAAATAAGTCCAACTCTTTCTGGGCCACTGCAGCAATTCAGGTACTGATATATCTTGGTCTGGAAGGAACTTACATGTTGCTGCATTCATACCCGAGCAGCAATACTCAGCTTTGAGTACACTTGGTTCAAATCCTGATATTAAATTGACCTGATCGTAGTGAAGGTGCTAACTGGAGTGGTCATTACCCTGCTTTTGATTGCAAGTACTTGATCTGTGATTTTCCAAAATGCAATATCCTATTTATCTTGTGCTTCTACAGGGACACAGCCCCACCTGATTTAAGATGGTGTATGATCATTGATTTGCAGTAGTTGAAAATTAGACATGAAATATTCATGCATGCTTTGTGCATCATCAGATTTTTCCTTTCAGGCTGGCACTGGCCCATTTGTTCCTAGCACCCACCAGCTGCTAGAAGGATGGCCTGCAGTAATTCCTTAAAATAGCAAGTATCTTAAAATACTCTAAAAAGCAGCAGGTCATATGGCTGCAGATGATGAATAGGCTGCACTGGGGCGTCACCACAGAATGAGGCTCATTAGATTTGTTCAAAGTCCCCTGTTCGAATCCAACCCCTACATGAGGCTTACCAAGGTTTACATGACTCCTGTTTTCAAATAATTGCAATAATGCCTTGCACTGGCAACACTGAATTGTTGTGTTTCCTCCAACAATAACATTTAGTTCTAATGAAATACTCAGCTGGGGGGGCTGGGAATGAATCAAACGCCTTTTTAAATTCTTGCTGTTGCATTACAGTTATTCTGTAGGAGTGGGAAGAAAGGAATGTCGCCTGGACCTGCGGGTG